AACGGCTGAACTGGGTGTTACATAGCCCAGCACAGCATCCGCAGACTGCCAGACCAGATGTCGCAACCACTAGTTCACGGTCATCCCCTTCCGTTACAACTACAACTGGAATCTCGCCACTTCTCTATTATCACTCTTCATCTCACTCAGAACATCCACACCAGCTATCTAATCCTGAGCATACATATCATCCCCATCCCCATCCTCATCCCCATCCCCATCCTCATCCCCATCCCCATCCTCATCCCCATCCCCATCCTCATCCCCATCCCCCATCCTCATCCCCATCCCCATCCTCATCTCCCTCTTCCCTTCTATTAGACCCATCACCATCAACGTCCTCATACGCACCACCTCCAGCTGACGGCCGGGTCCGGGTCCGGTTCACAGAAGAACCTCCGGAGACACTTTGAGTCATAGGGCTCGCAGGGTTAGCCATCGCCGACCTAACGGTCGGATTAGTCATATCAGGGCCAGGTTGCTCCCTCCAACATGGTGTAACCGTCATTTGGGTCCTGCCAAAATCAGGAAGATCATCGGGTCTGGGGGTCACGAGTCTGTGCCAGTCTTCTGAGCCCTCGACTGGCCAGCAGCCTGGTTGGTTCGGTACCTGTAGGGACGTGGAGACGGAGTTAGTACCGGAGACATTCCCGCTCGTCGCAGGGTTACATCTGGGTACCGCCGAGCTTGTGTTCGGCTGATCAGTTGCAGTTGCAGTTTCACTTCCGTGACGACGCTGCAGTTGTTGCCCCGAGATAACTCTCCGTGCTTCACCCACTCCGGCCGACTGGTTCGGTGACGGTCGGAGGGGCATGGGCATCGAGGAACTCGCGGAGAAACTCCTACCAGTAGGATTACCCGCTCGAAGTCAGTTTTGAACATAAAAGCAATACCGCTAGGGGTCTATATTAAAATTATGTTTTGAAAAGAGGGTAAGTAGAAATGATTTACCGTAATAAATTCCACTTAGGATACGGTTGTTTTGGATTGAAAGTGTGACAAACACAGTCTGATCTGCCTAAGTGAGACAGCTGAAGGTAACTTATTAGTACACGTGTGGTGAAGCCAAAAGGTTCACAAGAAGTATGATGCGTATACTAGTCTCGGTGATAATAATCTGTTGACTACTGTCGAACTATCTAACAATCTAAATTCTCCAGCAGTCCCTTTATACCTTGAATGCCTGTCTTGACTCCTGCGTCTTCGAGTGTCTACTCACTCATAGTATTGGCTCACCCGTGAGCCTCTTCTGGTAGTGAGCCCTCTGGTTCAACCCTGGTTCTGAGGTTATACTGTCTATCTTGGGCGGGGTGGTCGGGTCTCGACGGCTTGGGTGGTCCCTGCGTTGCTTAAGTTCGTAA